CTAAGATGGCTGTTTAATTATTGCTTAGGTTGTTTCAGCAGCGCGTGAGTTTGATTCCAGTATGTTGTCTCTTGTTTGTGCATAGCTGTCTTTTTTCAAATTATCACTACCCTTGGTCCTTCAAAAGAGGGATCCCAATGTAGGTATGTCACCATAAAAAAGCTAAGTTTATTTGATTCTTGTTGTTTAACCACCTTTTAAATGTTTCTGATGTGTTCTCCTGAAGTAGAGATTGCATAAAAATATACAATACTCAAATGCATTTTATGGTTGCAGCTTTGCAGGCACCAACCAAACCATTTTGCATCTTGTATTCAAGCTTCTGAAGAACCTGAGGTTTCAGTCATAAAAAAAGAATCTGAGGTTGTTCGAGATTCTCGAGTGTGGACTTTGTATTCAAGCCTTCGTTCCATTTATGACATTGCTTTTCTACACTTTTGCTTATGGTTTTAATATCGTGTCTGTACTCATGTACAATCTTTTGTTTTTGCAGATTTTCTTTGTATCGTCTGGTTGTTCGTTTGGTTCCCATAATCATATGGTACGTCAAAAGAAAGAAATGACTAAATTATTAGTTATGAGATTCATAAAACAGAGTGATGGCAATTAAGAGATTACATGTTTGATTTTGGATTTGTGGTTTTTCTTCTAAGAAAACTCAAATCTGCTCAAGAGAATAAGGTGACTAATGATTTCCCCTCGATTATGCAGGAATCTTTTTAACTTGTTTTACAGATAAACGGGTGGATGGCAACAATTAGGGTGCTGCTAAAATTGCTAACAGCGGCATCTTTGTTCAATGTTATGCTACCGACTCACACAAACCACAAGTAGAAAGGATTACAAGGACGCAAATCACTTCTTGTCATGTCCTTTTCTAGTCGTAGTCATGAACACCTATCTCCTATTGTCTTGTCCACAACTGATGGAAATACTAGTGTTTTGGATATTGATTCATAGATAGCATGAAATTAAGGTGTTAATTTTCATGCTTTCTCATAGACAAATCCAATAAATTTTTGTTGCAACACTTATAATTCAACTCTGGCAACACGAGACAAATGATACTCTAGTCCATAGTCAAACTCAGATAGATTTTGTTGTAAACAACATTGAAGCTACTCCTATGCTTCTTTGTGTCTTTAAGATTTGCTCAAAAGAACCTTCAGTGATATGTCCATAACCAGAGTTTGCCACCAAGGATAATAAGAAACTTCATTCCATAGAAAGTCTCCCATCTCATGTTATAGTCATGCTTAACATCTTGCTTGTATTCTAGTGATTGTTGTTCGCTGATCCCCATACAATATACCACACATATGATTGTTTTCGAATGAAGTATTGTTGCAAAGAAAAGCAAAAGACCTGCTTAAGGAGTTTATTTTCAACAGTCAATTATAGCATATAGCTCCAAAATTTTTTGAAAAACATTTTGCATTTCAGATTATTTTTCAAATGAAGATTGAATCAACATATATCGATTCCAGATAAAGATGGATCTCAGTAATCATGACATCATCATCAGAAACAAGCCTTCCAAACTTCAACTGTGTTGTTGAGGGACCTCCCGTGCAAGCTTATCCATGAATTGGAATTTCTTGTCAAATCCTCAACCAGTGTTGCTCTGCATTGTAATGTTAACAGCAGATGGTAAACATTCCATGTAGATCATCATGATTTAACCAGTATACAAAGCAACTTCAAGATCGAGACAGGAAAGAACGATGAGAGTGACTACTGACCTGCAGGGAAAGAATTGAACGATTGGCAGATTGCTTCACAGAAGCAGGCGCACTGTTAGGAATGTTTTTTGCAACTTTTTCTAGCTCCTCTTGCTGTTTATTTGTTGTAATCCTATCAGGTCGACAGTACTGATCAATAACCTTTTCCCATAGCAGGACCCTCTCAATCGCTTCTTCGACAGCTTCCTAAAAACCAATAGCAAACACCAAACAACTTCCAAACCCAAGTGATAAGACTAAAATCATTATTGGAAAAAAAAAAATCCATAATACGAACTCTAAAATGGTTCAGCATAAATGTTTAACTCATTAAAGTATTCAATTGTAGTTCAAACTGATTAGACACATCGGTTCCTTGCTCATTACATTGTTAATAGGATCTCTATTGTATCATGTAATTAAATAAAGTGCT